CATTTTTGCTCCGGATTTAAGAAACGTCTAAGTTAGCATTACACGTGGCGGTGAAGAATCGTTTGTAATATTTTTTTCCTTTTTTTACTCTTTTTGCCTAATCTTGGAAATATTTCATTTTCATTTGCCAAAAGAAAAGGGGGGGAAAATAAACAGATTTGTGTCTGTTTTTTGTCCTTACGTTGTGTTTCTTTTTGTTTTTGTTTGTTGAGTGTTTTTTTATTTTATCATATATACGGAAAATGACGAATTTATTAGTTTTGCATGCATTGCATTTCATTTCGCCTTATATGTATTCTATATGGGTGTTTAAATACTATTTTCATTTTGAAAGTTAAATAATATGAATTTTAATTAATATTTAAGATGTTTTTTTTATTATATTGATAGAAGAAAAAATATAATTTATATTTTTTTAATATAATTTTAAATATTTAAATTTTAATTTAGCGAATATTTTAAACCGAACTTTGTTGGATCAAGCAATATACAGGTAATTATATAACTAAGAAGAAGCGGAGGAAGTATTTCATAACAATCATTAATTGATTAAGCCTAATTCCTTTTTGGCCAAACCAAGTGTACATTCTATTTTAGTAAAGTAATTTAAAAATAAGAAGCTATGAAGGACAGAAAAATGTTCCATCTCGTTTCGTAAGAAGATGGAATTTCACAGACACCACTAAGGCACTAACTATATGTAGCACTACTTTAGAGATTTCAGTTTTGAATGTGGATATGAAAAAATCAAATGGCAGAGAATGTTATCTCTAAATAAGCCTCTATCTAATGTGAATTTGAATTAGTTGAACTTTAATGTAAATATCAGACATCCAATAAGCAAAAAAAGGACACTAACTATAATAAAAGTTAATTGTAATCATCAATATATTGTGAAGAAATTGTATACATGTCGTGTTAGTAGTTTTAACCGATAAAAATTAAAGATTTTCATATGCCTCAGAGATCGTAATGTGATCTTGTGTGTGTGTGGAGGGGGGGGGGAGTCACATGTTTTTTGTTTTTTTATCATTACAAACGTATAATTATTGAATTTGAGCAATACCAATGAATATGACTTGAAATTAAATTATCTTAAAGTTGATATATAATTATAATTTGTACAAATCAGAAAAAGAAATGCATATATATACATAATACTCTTCAAGACTACTTAGTTTTCTATATTTTAAAATCATAGTAGCTAATCATGATTGCCTTGCCTATTTTCATTGTGTGATCTTTATATTTAATTAGTAGTAGCTATTTTAACTTACGAAACCCACCTGGATATTGGATATGAAGGTGATCAATGATTACATATTTATAATCCAAGCTAGAGGGAACCAAACCAAAATTTTCTTTTAATTAACATATATATAGTTTGCTAATAGGAAACCTATTCTACTCTAATACTAGGTATTCCTAACTTGTCCATGACAGAACGCAACCAAGAAATAGTACAAAAAAGGGCTAATTAACATTTATAAATCATAATCTTGTCCATTTTAAGCTACTAATTGAGATAAGAGTATCAACTACCTTTGTTACAATTGTACTATAATAATAATACATATGATCCAAAATTTCATATATTTGCTCCATGATCATTCTCAATGACTACCATAATTGAATCAACATCTATTTGAATAGAATGACAACAAAAAGTCAAACATTATTTCAGTCAATACAATTGAGATGTGTTTTTCTTACGATAAATTCTATCCTAATTATACTTTAATCAAAAATGACATTCGGTGGAGAATGTTTTTTTTTATGAAAAAAAGTACCATATAGATAATTTTTTTGGAGTTAAGTTTTGGACTTCTATCGATAAAAGATTATTTTTTGTCATACATAATACAATATTATATTGTGAATGTTATCATGTTATGGTATAAAAAAAATCTTTAATTTACAGAAATCCAAAACTTTTCCTCGGGTTAGGCAAATATATATAAAAAATACATTTCTTTTAGAAAGAGTAAAATCAATTAGATAATATATTTATATCTCTCTTGAGAGAAAAACAAAATTACCCTATAATTAAAAAAAAAAATAGGACAAAATGCTTAACAAATTTTGCCTCCATAACGGTCATATTTAGGGCCAGTTTGGCCATAGATTTCCCAAGTAATATTTGGGGGGAAATTTGGCAAATAATGTTTATCCATACAATTTGTCATTATTTGGCAAATATCCCAAATTCCCAAATACTAGTTTTTTCTAGTATTTGGGACAAATCTCATTATTTGGATCTATTAAAAATTGAACTTTTACACCAAACTTTTATCTTTTACAAAACACCCTCTATAATAGTTATTTGCGTTGTATTACATAATATTTTACGTGAACACCAAAGTAGTGATGAAATATTCAGTGAATATGAAAGTGGTGATATAGTTGTTGATGAAAATGATGACCAATTAGCTCACGATAACAAAGTCATGTGCTTTGTCTATTTCACGATGTATGAAATGATGCTTGTTGCACTCACTCCAAACTACCATATTGCTCCAGTGTCATGAACACTACTTGTTATTTGTTGCAACGATGATCCAATTGACTTGTAATACAAACTTATGATTAGTTTTGATAGTTTTTAAAACTTATGGGTCTAAATCATATTTTTCTAAAAAAGTGAAATATATTTCCCAAATACTATGGCCAAACACATGGTAAAATTTCACCCAAATTTTATTTGCCAAGAATATTTGGAAATCTATGGCCAAACGCTAGCTTAAGAATTGTGCTATAGGCAAAATAAGGTTCATTCCCAAATCCTTATAATACCTTAATTACCATAGACTTCTAATTTAGTGATTTACCTAACAAAACAACTAAAATAAATAAATAAATCAAAGTCGTTGAGGATTGATTTGATCTATGGTGTGATCTAGGGGTGTTAAATGGCAAGTTGAGCTGAATTTCATTAAAATGAATTGAGTTCATAAATGAATGATTTGATGGCATGTTTGTTATTTGGGATGAAGCAGGTTGAGTTGAAATGAACTAAAAATTGGTTCACATAAAAATTCTTACTAAGTTTTAAATTCAAAGTTTATTTTCTTATAATTTGTTTGAGTAACTATTAAAACTCTTCCCTTAAATCATGACTATAAAATTATATCAAATGAAAAAAAATCTTTTGAAAAATAATTAAAACAAATTTCTCACGAGTCAATATGAATGGAATATATCAGCCTAATTTTAAAATGAACTTAAACTAAACGAATCAAAACAAATTCACGAATAAAATAAACAGGTAGTTACATGCTCAAAAATAAATTGATTGGGCGGGTCAATTTTTTTTGGGTTGTGCGAGTATAATATAGGGAAAATTGTATATAATAGCAAACTATTAATTCAAATTAAATGCTATAAATATACTTTGATTTAATTGTACCCTATAACAAACTATTGCTATTTTCGCCACTCTCCCTGGTGAAATTTCGCTCACCACTCTCGTTTGGTGGTAGTCTCACTCGCCTCTCTCACTTTTATACAAACACAAATGTATAAAATGTGTTTGTGTTTGTATAAAGCGAGAGAAAATTGTATATATACATATATTTTCGTTCCCCTCTCCCAGATCTCGCTTGCCACCCTCGCCTCTCTCCCTTATACAAACAGAAACGAAATGTATAAATTGCGCTTCTGTTTATATAAAGCGAGAGAAAATTGTATATACACATGCAAATACATATATCTTCGTCCTATACACTTATAATTATACAATACAAATATTTCCCTGCCCAGTTTTCTTTTGCATTTATCTCTTTCTCATTTTATACATAGACAGATTATACAATTAATCTTTTGTATACAACTGCTTTCTTTTGTATATGTATAGTGAATTATACAACTGCCTTCTTTGTATATGTATAGTGAATTATATAATTGTTTTTTTTTGTATATGTATAGCGAATTATACATATATATGTTTGCTATGGAGCACAATTATGCAAACTTTGCTATAACATACAAATATGAATTTTGTGTTTGTTATATGTGAAAATTGCTCATTTATATTGGGCTCATTCGTTGAACCAAATAACTGGGCTTGGTGCTTGATATCTGTGGGTTCAGGCCCATGTAAAGTCTCTACATTATGTGAAGCTACCAAAATTCATCCCAATTAATTATAGTTGTAAGTATTCGAATTTGAGGTAATTTGACAATATACTCTTTGTCAATTTCAAATATTAAGAAGTCCTTTAATAGATTACTTTTAAAATATCCAAACAAAAATAATCAGTCCAATAATTATCTGTTCTAATAATTATTTAAATGGATTTGTGTATAGTCTTAAATTTAGAGTTCCCTAGCAAAACATTACGATTTTCATGGTTAAATTAAGTAGGTCACTCTTCAATAATAATAACATATTCAATGTAGTTTCACAAGTAGGGTTCGGGAAGAATGGTGTAGACCAAAACATTTAAAAGTGAATATTGAAACAAAAAACTTATTTAGTAGAAGAAAGAAAACACAATAATTAGTCATTTATTATCTTAAATTAATTGCATGGAGACAATGGGTTACTATTACTTCCAAAACAAATGGTAGAATTTGTAAAACATAATAAATAAGAATCACATGTGAGACAATCTAACGATAAAAAAAAAATACTAGTCTGATTTTACACTTAGATATTTTTTATTAATTAGACAAACACAAAAGCACATGAAATGAAGTTCGTTTTCATTCCAAAAAAGTGAGACGAGTTAGTAAGTACTCTTCCGTTCTTTCATTTAGTAATGGGCTTCTTACTTTGCTGCCTCTACAAAACCGGAACAAAAGGGGCTCTCTTATCCAGAACCCGACCCGCCATTGTTGAGGAGAAATTAGTCAATAGACAATTCTAAATTTCTTTTTGGAATTAACCTAACCTCGAAATCATCAAATTCACTTTCGAAACTCCAAAAATAAAATAAAAAAAGATAACCACGACGTTTCCGTGTGCTCGCTGGATGCCAAAATTCCATAAGCAGAGCCTTTGCCACATCGTTGTCAGCTTGCCTCTCCTTCTACTTAAAGCTATCTATCTCCATCGTCTCTAGACTTTAAAAAAAGTCACAATCCCCCGATTCAACATATTTCAACAACGAAACGATGCAGAGACCAAGACGCCGCTGCGAAGGCACTGCCATGGGTTCTATTGTTCTCGATCTCCGCCCTGGTGTTGGAATCGGTCCTTTTACTCTAGGTAAACTTAATTTATTCCATTTGTTATCTTGTTAAGTTACCGATTAGGTCAAATAGGATGATCAATTTGTCTCATTTTTTGTTTTGTTTTGTAAATTGATTGATTAGTCATTCAATTTGATGCGGTTTAGTTTAGCTGATTCAACATGTGATGATGATCTGGTAAATGTTTCAGGAATGCCTATTTGTGAAGCTTTCGCGCAGATAGAGCAGCAGCCTAATATTTATGACGTTGTCCATGTTAAGTATTACGACGAGGTATGATTCAGGGTGGACAACATTTTTTAGGCCAATTTTACATACTTCTTTTTGTTTTGGTTAATATGTTTTCCTTATTATGGTGAGTGGTGACATCTAATCTTGCACCCTAGTCATTTGAAATCAACTTTACTCTATGAAAATTTAGTTGCTTTGAAGTTCAAAACAATCAGTTTACGGAGTGCTGATTACTATGCCTTTAAAATAATTCTTTTTGTGTTATTTAGTGTTCTGTTAGTCACATACTTAGTACCTTTTGTTGATTGAATAGAAAAATTAGCCAATAAGTTGCGATCAGCTGAGCCATAATCTATTTTGCAGTAGGAGCCATTCATAAAGTTCCCCATTTAGTTGTGATTAACTCAGCCAGTAATGTATATTTTGTAGTAGGACGCATTCCATCCATTACAATGGGTTTATAGGCTGAAATTCTGCAATTTCCATGCATGAATGGTTCTGAAATTATCAGGTTTTACATGGTATATTAATATGATAACACTGTAATCAATGTTGTGGACATGGGTAGTTTTGCACATCAGCATCTCGAATATTACATAACTTCAATGCTTAATCTGTGTTCTGCAGGAGCCCTTAAAACTTGACATTGTCATTAGCTTCCCAGATCATGGATTTCATTTGCGGTTTGATTCCTGGTCACAGGTATTAGATGTGGTGCATGCCTTACTCGGGTCTAGTTAATGAGAATATTTAGTTGCCTTGTATGTAAATATGTTTGGTTGTAATTTGTTCAAGTAAGCTAATGATATTTTATTTATGGTTCATTCTTCGCTGAATTCGCAATTCTGAATGCATGGCTAAAATGTGGTGGCAATGCGCCAATGCCAACTTTTCGAGGCATTTGTATCCTTTATTTTGTAATCCTTGATCATTTATTATAATGCACATCTGAGGGGCAAACTTCAACAAAAAAGAACATACCTTGTGAAATTCCACAAGTGGGGTTTGCGGAGGGTAGAGTGTACACAAACCTATCCTTAACTCGTGGAGATAGAGAGACTGTTTACGGAAGACCCTTGGTTCAATTAACGCATATCAAAGTAAATTTTAAAAGAGAAAACGGAAGTTATGAAGACATTGCAAATAATAAGGGAAACGTTTTGAAACAAATAAAGAAAAGGAACAATAACCACAACAAATAAAATGATAACCGAAGCATAACACTTAGCATGTAGTAGCAGAAATTAAGGGACCAGAAACTACGAGAATAGTGCTAATACTACTGGAATGCAAGGAGAAACCTATCCCACTGGACAACGAGACAATGCTCAACTACTCACTAACCTACCACCCTAATCCGCTTCCGCCATAACTTCTTATCTAAGGTCATGCTCTTAGTAAGCTGGAATGTGCCATGTTTTGTCTAATCACCTCTCCCGAACGCTTCTTCAGCTCACTTCTACCTCTCTCGAAGCTTATCACAACCAACCTCTCACACCTCCTCACCAGGACATTTGCATCCCTCCTTTTCACATGCCTGAATCATCTCAGTCTCACTTTTTTAATGAAGTGTTGTTAAAAACACTAAAGCGCTCGCTCTAAGCGAGAGAAGCGAAGCGGTAAGCTGTTACTCTAATGCCTTGAAGCGACACGATGGTGAAGAAGCGAGAAGCGTGCTTCTTATTAAAGCGAGAAAAAGCTCGCCTTTTAGAAGTGCTAACTAGTTTTTTTTTTTAAATTTCTGTAAAAAACTTACCATAGTTTTTACCAAATAATTTTCTTCCTTTGTCAACTACTGTTGGACTCTCTGTAAAAATACTTACCTAAGTTCTTCTTCTTCTTCTCTTTCTGTTTCTTTGCTGCACAAGGTAACTAGATTTTTTCCCTTCAATTTGCTGTTTTAGTCTGTTTTTATTTCTTCTGATTTAATATTCCTCTGTTTGTCGTATGCTTTGTTTTTCTCTTTTTTTGGTTTTGCTAGTCTGTTTTGTCTCTATTTTCTGTTCCTTTGTTTTTTTGCTGTTGTGTGACTGAGTCACGATTCTGTTTTTGCTTGTAGTAAGTTGTATTTTCTTAAATAATATCTATTTCTAGTATCTATTATTTACTTTTTAATATAACAACTGAAAGATTTGCTCAATGTGTTTATTGAGTTCTTGATTATTTATGTATGCATATTTAATATTTCTTACTTTTATACTAAATAGCGCTTTATATAAAAAAAATTGTGCGCTTTCGCTTCACGATTCTTGCTTCGGTGAAGCGAGCCCTTATTGTTTTTTTCCGCTTCTCGCTTCCCAAAACACTGGCCGGCCCTCATTTTGTCTCCCATGGAAGTCACCCCACCTTGTGTCGAACATCCTCATTCCTAATCTTGTCTCTCCTAGTATGCCTACACATTCTGAGATTCAGACTTCATTGAATTGAATTCGGTCTGGAGTGTTCATGAAGAAGCAAAGGCACGTTGCTGCAATTGGAGAAACAAAAGATTTTACTAAGCCTGAGTATGCTGGCAACGAATGTCAAAGTTTGCTAATGTTGTGCAAGATTGTCCGTGCCGCTACACCTATTCATGGTTAAATTTTATTAGGAGTAAAATAAGTTTTCTTTTCTTTGGGTGTGGAAGAATGCGAAGCTTATATTTTAATCTCTAAATTCGGGAAATAGTGCTAAGAGATCTTCAAGATAGTGAAATGTATTGGTGAATTCATCTTGTCTTTATCCTCGTTACCTTTTGTTGATTGTCTCGATGGTTGTCATTTATGGAGGGAGAATTCATCTTCTCCATGGGAAGGAATAATGAAGGGAAATATTGATTTTTTTTTTTGAAAATGGTAACGATGTAAGGGAAATATTGATTTTAAAAAATACATTGAATTTATAGAAGGAAAGGCAATCATATCTGATTTTGGTGCCGGAAGGTAACTCTGAAGATTGAGAGTCGAAAGAAATGGAGCATTTTTCTTGGATACTAATAGTTTAGTGGCTAAAGAATGGCAGCATGGGATGGCATCAAAAGCTGACGTCGGGGTGGGAGGGAGTTTCCTGGTGAAACCTTACTATATTTATCTGGATGGTTCAAAAACTGCTAAGAATTAGCTTTCTTTGCTTGGTCCGCTTCATGGGACGTTATCCTTAGGTTGCAGCAATTTGAAAAGGAGTTGCATAATGTTAATCAGTGTTGCATGTGCAAGAAAAAGGGGGAATACACTAATCTTGTGCTCCTTCATTACACTATGTACTATGTAGCGGAAGTAAGAGTTTTGGTGTATTCCATGATTTACTTCCCTGAAAAGTTGAGACACCCTCGCAATGTGGAGGTTGAGCAAATCAGGGAAGGGAAGGAGGAAGTTTTGGAAATAGCATTGTGATGCCTTTATTGTATGATATGGAGAAATGTTTGGAGTTGAAAGATGGATGCTGAAGATCATTAGTTACCTTGTTTTCCTGTACTATTGGTGTAAATAAGAGATTCCATTATTATTTGTAGATCGTTGAATAGTTTTTTGGAGGCTCAATGTAAAGACCTTTTACGTATTAACATTTGGCATCACCTTGGTGCACATTAAGGAAATTCCTTTTGATTTACCCTAAAAAAATAATATACTTGGGGAAGTATCAATAACATGAATACATCTAATATCTAGTTTCCTTGATCATGTACATCTCCGAAGTGGAACATGATTTGGGATGGAATGAGGTATGGAAATTTCCTTTCAGGATAAATGAATCCCCTAGGTGCAAGTTAAACATCAACTCAAGAAAGCGATAGGCGAATGGGGTTAGGCACGGAAAAGGCATTTCCCCTTAGAATTTTTTTTAAAATTATGTGATTCTCTTTTAAATTTATTGTCTTGTAATTTACTTTATCAGGAAGACATGAACATATTTCTTTTGTAAGTTTCTCTTTTATAAGATTTATTTCTTTTATAAATTAGCTCAAGAGCTTTCTACTTGCATAATGGATTAGAAACAATTTTTCAAGTATGTCTTTACACTGAGTCTACCTGTTTCAGAGACTGCGCCTTATTGAAATATTTGATGTAAAACGGCTTCAGATGCGCTATGCCACCTCTGTTATAGGGTAGGTTTTCATAGTGTTTACTTACACAACTCTCTAAATTGGTAGGTTTTCATAATGCTGTGCTAACACCTCCCAACATTTCTGTTGATTTAAATATTGTCTTTTGATTTTGTTACTTTCAGCGGGCCGTCCACTTTAGCCACTTTTGTAGCCGTCTATTCTCTTTTTGGGCCGACCTATCCAGGAACATATGACAAGGACAGAGGAGTTTACACTTTATTTTATCCAGTATGTTTGTCCAATGTCTATTGATGCCACATTTAAATCTGACTTGTGGCTTTTGGCTTATTTTTATTGTTTTGGCTTAAAAGTAAGTGCTTAAAAGCACTTATTTATTTCACCCAAACACTACAAAAGTGCTTAAAAGCTATTTTGGCTTAAAAACACCTAAAATAAGCCAATCCAAAGAGGCTCTTATTCTATTATCCATCACTTAGTTCTGTGTTGAGGGTTCTGATAGATTGCAACTTTGCAGGGATTGTCGTTTGCTTTTCCAATTCCCTCCCAGTATACAGATTGCTGTCGTGATGGTGAAGGTATTCCTGGTTATTTTCGTTTTTCACACTTGTGCAGACTCAAATTATTTACTCTGGTATAAATAATTTTTTCCTTTCTTTCTCTTCTTTTTCCATTTCAAAAGCGGAACTACCTCTTGAGTTTCCAGATGGCACAACCCCAGTTACTTGCCGTGTATCAATATTTGATAGTTCTGCTGGAAGTAAAGTTGGTGTTGGATCCATGATGGACAAGGCCTGTACTCCTCCTCTGCCTGCTGGGAGCCTCTACATGGAAGAAGTGCATGTTAAGGTTTGGTTTAGTCCTTTACATGTCCACACTGAAGGTTTTGTGCAGTCTCTTTAATGTTATATATGTGATTTCTTATTGAATAATGTATTAATAGTAAGTTAAGTCCTCCTCCTTTGAGCTGCAACTCTTTATGCTTTTTCGTGGGAAAAGCTCTTTAGGATGTTCTTTTTGTGTGCTTGTGGTGCTTTGACATAGAGCTGACATAAAGGGCATTCACATCTGGAGCTTATTAGTTTTGGCTTTAATGTGCTTAAATTCGGCCTTTCACAGATCTCTTTGCCATGAGAACCGTTAATAGTTTCTTGATATTTTTGTCGTCACTTTCCAATATATAGCCATTGAAAAAGGGAATTGACCGCTGGGATTTGACAGTTCTGGCTGATATGTTTGTCTTGCTCTGTTATAAATCAATCATCAGAGAATCTCAAACTTGTGTTTTAGAAAATTGTAGTATTGCCTCAAAATTGATGATGTTTTAGTTTTCATCTCAGTCCTATCTCAAATTGTGATGCAAAGGAAATGGAATTAAAGTAAACTAAATCTGGTGCCATTCCATTTAATAGTTCCTTCGTCACTTGCAATGGCTACTATTTTTGATAGTTCTTTCTCCACTTGCAATGGCTACTAGTTTTGAGGTTAGAATTCAAAAAAGTGTCTACCCCTTTTTGAATAGAGAAGATTTAAATGTCTAGTTTGATATCCTGTGGGAGGTGCGTACAAACTGGCCTAGACACTACGGTTATAAAAAAAAGAATATTTGAATGTCTAGTTTGATATTATTTTTATCAGATTATTTTTTTCTCGTGCTCTATAATGCTGAATCTTGGCACTTGATGAATGATTTAGTAGTATTTTCCACTTCCAAAGATAAAAAGTTCATATGTGTTTCTGTGCAGTAGTTTAGATCATAAAAGATGTGTCGAGTGTCATTTGTTAAGTTTGACGATTAAGTTGCTCTGACATGCAGTTCAGTTGATTTACATATGATTTTGTTTGTTTTCTATCTTCTTTAGCTGGGGGAAGAATTACGGTTTGGTATTGGTGGACAACACATCCCCTTTGGTGCATCACCACAGGTAACTATTCTTTCTTTAGATTGTTTTGGAGTTAATCATTCGCTTGAGTTGTTTAAAGTTTCTCTGTCTTCCATTGGATTATTTTTCCTTCATATTGTGGAAACTCTAATTGTATTGATATGATACTTTCAGTCTAGATTCCATCGAATAATCGTATCCCTATTGCCTAAAAGAAGTTCAGGATGAGTTGCAATGCAGAAGTTAATTTTTTCCTGAAGTTAAAGGGGAACAAGAGGCTGAAAACCTATTTTAACTCGTATATTGAACTAGGCGTTGAACTTATTTCACTTTTGGTTTAACAATGCTTGAATCTATTTGTTCTTGTATGTTGCGTGCGGTCTGGCGTAGGTTTGTTCGTGCTGCATATCGTCCTGTTCCTTTATTACATATGTTTTGATGACTGAATCAACCAAGCAAAACCTTGTCTTATCTTATCTCTATGCAGGATGTTTGGACCGAATTAGGTCGACCATGTGGAATCCATCAGAAACAGGTACTGCTATATTTCTTTGGTGTCTTAACAGAAAATTGATATATCCAAGTTCTTGTGAGTTCCTGTCAGGTTTCTACATGTTAGATTGTTGGTGGAGATTGACTTCATTAGTTATACAGGTTGATCAAATGGTGATTCATTCTGCTTCAGATCCCCGGCCGAGGACAACTCTTTGTGGTGATTACTTCTACAACTACTTTACTCGTGGCTTAGATATACTATTTGATGGGCAGGTATGTCATCCTCTGAGTTTCCATGAGCACATGTTATGATGTCTATATCTGTTCTCAGATTATTGTGGTTTATTTGCAGACACATAAAATCAAGAAATTTGTCTTGCACACCAACTATCCTGGGCATGCTGATTTTAATTCATACATGAAGTGCAATTTTGTTATCCATTGTTCTGATTGTGAGTTGATTCTTCAAGATCTAATGCCCTCTTTCGTTATACCAATGTAAAAGAATTGGATATTCGTTTTAATACTTTTTGCATCTTTTTTTCTGCAGTTGTAGGGTCTTATCATCAGGATGTGAACTCCTCTAAAGCTACTATTACAGCCAGCACAAAATGGGAACAAGTTAAGGTGAATTCTTCTGTTTGATTCATAGTCATTCCTATTCATTTATCGGTATTTCTTCGAGGTTTTCAAGTTGGAAGTTTTTACTATTAGTGTTCTGGATAATTATTACTCTGCCCCTTTTTAATTTTAAAAAACTCAGAATCCGTTCATGTTAATGATATTTAGAACTAATGGGCAAACTGTTGTGTACACCTGTGTATATACCTATCATCAGACATCCTCTTTTTCTAGGCTCAATTTCAAGTTGACTCATTGTTAAGTTGCTATGATTCTGCAGGAGATACTAGGGGATTGTGGTCGAGCTGCTATCCAGACGCAAGGCTCTGCGAGTAATCCGTTTGGATCCACCTTTGTATATGGCTACCAAAATCTTGCCTTTGAGGTGATTTTTTTGATTCGAATAAATGTCTGTATACCCCACGCTGTGGTTCCGCGACACACTTTATCTCTCTTCCCTTTGTGCTTTCATTTCCTATTGCTTCACTTGGATCTTTGCTTATTTGTCACAGGTGATGAAGAATGGTTACCTTGCGACTGTAACTCTCTTCCAGTCCTGATCATCTATGTGGTGCGTGACCTGTGTTTATTTTTCAGTTTTCTCTGATAGTGGGTGACTTTATTTTTTATATGAACATCACATCATTTTTCTATAGTTGATGACAACTATTTGCATATTCGTTGCAAAAAAAAAAATATTGCTATCACTATCTGGTTTGGTCAGTTCCGCAGTAATTTTCTCTCCCTTTGTCTTGGTGGTGATGTTGGTTGTCCTTGCTGCATACTAAGGGGTGTGTGTGGGATGTCCTTGCTGAGTATGAGCGGTAGCTGTTTAAGAAGTGTCCATTTTCTAGGAGTGTTGGATTTCTTCTCCATTACAATGTGAACATGAGATGTTGATATCTGATGTTCTCTATATATGATATTGACATCTAGAGGACCTATATTTTTTTTTGACATAAAAAGAGGACCTATATTTGTTTGCCAGTAACTGCTAGCATGTCTTTCCCCATTGTGCTTTTGATCATAATCTTCCTAAACTATTGGATATTCCTTTTCGTTGTTGACTTGTTCAGTTTGTTTCTGTCAGGCTGCCTGTTGGTATTTTGTACAGTTCAATTACTTGAAGAAAGCAATTCTTTTAACTGACCGTCATGGTGGAATTGTATCTAATGTATATTTGTTTATACTTGTACAGTTTATTTTATAATTGTCGTCTCTTGTAAACTTATATACATAGCTCCCAACTTCTTGCAATACAAGACTCGTTACTTCATTCCTCGGGTAGGTGAAGTTTGGTGGCATGTGATTTGATAAGGCATTGTGCTGACACTTTTCGCTATGACTTCTTCTTGACAATTGTACTGGACCACTTGACCCATTTGGTATTCAGTTGGCTTTGCCCAGCTTAATCATTTGATAGGGTTTGTTTCCAAAACAAATTAACGAAATTTTCAACCAAATAGCACAGAAAAGCAACAGTTCCTGAAAATGAATGCTGATAAAATTGATTGTTCGTAACTGTATTTTGGTTTAATGAAAGTAGGAGTAGGTACTTCTTCTATTTTTGTGGTCGTGGATGGACGTGCAGGCTGCTGCAACAATTCGGATGAGAAAATTGGTCTATAACATGGTGCCTGGGAAAAATGATTTTCTAACTTACAATATGATGCACACAAATTGCGTAATTGTACAGGAGTAAAGACTGCTGACTTTTATAGCTTAGCTAGACATTAAAGAAATCATCAAATATGGAGTAGCCATTCATGACCATCTATGAAACTGAGTGAGATAAACGGTTTAGCTTCTTGTTCAGTGAGCTCCCTGGACCATTTCACCCTTTCACCATGGTCTGCCCCTGGTCCTGAACACTTGAATTGCCCATAAAATACTGTCCTGCAGATCAGCATAAATTCCTCAGTAAATTCGCGTTCTATAGTATGTGAAGAGCATCTGTGTGTAAGTAGTATGAAAAAAGAAAGGAAAGAACTTACATATGCCTGTTCTTATCTCCCCAGTCATACCATCCCTTTGATGTGATGATTTTATCCATGTAAGTGTAAGCAAATACGACCCTAGAGAAAGTACCCCAAGCCCTGCCCAAGTAAAGAGCACCAGATCCAGTAACTTTGCAATTGAGAAAAGAGAATCCAGTTTCCTCCAGTAAACTCTCCCTCTTCTGGGCTGTCAAGGCCCCATAGCTTTTTGTTTTGGCACGTAAATGACAATTCTCATAAAGGGACAGCCCATCACCAAATATAAAATCTACAGAACCTTGAATATAACAGTTCTTGAAATAGTGCCTGCCCCTGTGATCATACAGTGTGTCTTGTGCTCCAATGAACTTGCAATTTATGAACGCCGCTGTGTCTGCCGAAATTCTTAATGCCACCGCTTGCTTTCCTAGTGCCCCTGATGGTGGCGGTGGTGCTACATTCTGTTCACGAAGGAATTAATTGTGATCTCAAAAGAATTTTTATAGAAGAAAACTACATGTTTTCCAAAAGTGAGAATAGTTTTTCCGATATATCAATTGTACAAAATCTATTATATTTATAAATGTTAATCCAAGAATTATACAGGTGGGAGCTAGAGCTTCGCCTACAAGTTTGGCATAACCCAGTAGCTTTTGCTCAAATATAATATTTGTGTAATAGATAATTTATCAGGAGCTTACTACATTTTTTAAAATTCAGAATCCATAAATTTAAAATTCTGACTCCACCGCGTTAACAAGCATCATCTCTAGAGATAAAATTAGTTCTTAATAGATCCATCTAATTGTAAAACATAACAAAGTACTTGCACAATTACCTTAAAGGTGATGTTTTTGGCAATGAAGTAGGGGGAATTAACAGCAAAAGTTGCGGAACCATAAGTTCCCATTGGTTGGCCACTTTTTCCTGTCCTATCTGCAGTGTCATCCCATTTGATAGTTGTTTTGTGTGAACCAGCACCCTCCAGGGTAATGTAAGCCATTGTTGCTGGAATTTCAATCTTCTCCCTACAAAATTTTAACCTCATTTAAACAAAACTTCCATACAATTGCTCAATTTGTTGAATGCGCTTATAGTACAAAATCAAGAAGCAGAAAACAGGACAATTGAAGTGTACAAAATTTACCTGTAAGTCCCAGGACTAACAGAAATAACCACTCGACATGAATTGACTATTGGGATTGAATCAATAGCCTTTTGAACCGTAGTAAAATCTCCGAATTTCGGGTTTTTATTCACCTTAATAAATTTACAAGGCTCTAATTTGTTCTTCGCTTCTTGGAAAACAGAATGATTGCGAGAACTCATGCGATTGATCCAATTCAAGTAGTCTTTTTCTTCATTAGCCACCTTCAATGTATTATCCCTCCTAGAATGTTTAGCACTACTTGTGCTAATAGTAAACAACATTAACATAAAAAACAGCTCTAATAGTTTCATCCCGAGAGTACTAAAATAAGATAGAAGATAATGAGAGTCAGAAATTTATAGGAGTAGTATATAAAGGATGCAAAAATAATGTATGTGTACACGCGGCCTAGTGGAGTAGTTGAGAGCCGAGAGGTCTCCGGGGAGAAAAAAAGATACTAGGTAATTTTTCCTATCTGTCTTGGCCTTGATAGATAGAGTTACCTAATACTTATTGCTAGTGGGAGTTGGATGGTATTCCGTAGAATTAATTGAGCTAGTCCGAACACCACAATTATAAAAAATAAATAAATGTGGTAAAAATGTTTGGTCCGGGTGAGAAAGAGAATAGGAAGAGAATCTGACAGGTCGTGGCTATGCTCTGTATTCGTATTATCTTTTTGTTTCTTTCCTCATTCAGACCAATCTATCCTAAATTTTGATTTTACCATAGGCCGATAAATCATACCCTATGTGACTAGAAACTGATCGAAGATTTAAAGTTGATTGTTTCCGTTTTTTAAGGTTTTTAGTGCTGATCAGAGGCAGCTCAAAGTAATAAAAGACCTAAAGCGAAATTTCAATTAGAGGCCTAAAATCTAAATAAACTTCATATATATTTATTTAAAAATTATTTTTCTAACTTTTTAGATTTAAATTTTTGCTTAAAATTTCTTTATAGACGATTTCTTCAAATATCTTTTTTATTATTATTAGTTTTAGGTAAGATTTTATCAATTCAACATTGGAAAATACTCTTTTACTGGGGCCATTACTATATGAAATGTTAACATAATTCTTAGTAATAAGTTGACAAACTTTAAATAAAAACAAGAATTAAAATCATAGAATTTGATTCAAGAAGTTGATAACTTGGTATATCCTACTTTAATATGTTTGTTGTATTCCTTGAAAATTTAAGAAGAAATAAAAAAAGAATTTGTAATTTACTTTGTTCAACACTTTTCGACTATTGATTCATATTTTTGACAGACTATTACTCTACCTTATTAAAGATTTGAAAAATGAAGAAGAATTCAAACAGATAAATAATATGAGTGTTGGCGAAAAATAATTGATTTTTTTGAATGGAGTTAAAGAGAACAAAATAATATAATTTTATGTAAAAAAATAAACATAAAAATTATTCTTGGTAAGAAATTGAGGCCCCCCAAAATTGGGGGCCTAAGGCATATGCCTCAAATTTTGTATGCAAGAGCCGCCCCTGGTGCTGATCGCTGAATTCATAATACTACTAAAATCATGTATTCAATAAATGTTTGTTAGAAATTTTAGTGATTTTTCACATATAAATATCAATGTTCGGGGATAAAAAAAATACTGGATCTGGTTGAACATGGGTTCTATCCGCCTCTATATTGATAATTACTTTCTTCGTTTCAAAATAAATGTTACCTTAGCAAAAATAACAGTCATTAGTAAATCAATAAATATAATGTGTTGTTTACTAAGCTACTCCTAATTAATAACTGTTTCTTAAAAATTGAACACCATTAAGAAGATTAATCGGAGAAATATATTAATTTTTGACTTTGGGAGGGAAGAGAGTATTTGTCATATTATGCACAGTTCGATAGCAATGTGTCTGTTTAGGTCAGCTGGAGAGTGGGACTGTTAGGGAAAAACCGTGACTATAATTTGGCAGGGAAAAAAAACAAACAACCAACCAACTTGTACATAACACCAATTGCCATTATATTATAGCCATTCTCTTTGCAATAAAATATATGAAGTATATTTATGTAGAGCTATTGCATTATTTGCCTGGATTGTGGTTGTTTGCGGCAGAATAAAACGATTTTAGGAGCAAACTGGTTGACTAAATTGATAAAGCAGGAACGGAATTCAAGAAACTATATCATCATTCATGGGACCCTTTATGCACGAGTTTGGTATTTCAAATTTCATGTGACTATTATTTTTTCAAAGAAAGTTGGGGAGGAAAAAAAACTGTTAATGGGTCTTAGCTACATCATATATTATATTATAATAAAATAAATAAATAAGAGTTTGGTTAGAGTTAGAAAGTACAGCTTGGAGTTGGGAGAAGAAAGAAAATAACACAACAATCACTATTTTTCCATTCAAAGTTTCAGAAAAATCTACTATAGTTATTTTTTCAGATATTTTGATTGAATCATTGATAAAAGAAAAAAATAATCAGGGACTTCTATTAGTATTTTAATGAGAATTTGTTTTTCACTATAATCTGCCACAGACCCTCACCCCTATTTTTATAGGGTTTTTTCGATTGATTCTCCACATTTCTCCTTTTTTAACCTCGCTTAGATGGGCTGAGTTGGGAGAAAGAAGAAAATGGAGTTATAAAATTAGGGGAATTGAAGGTAGTCATGATACATCTAGTCCGTGATGAAGAATTGGAGGTGTTGCAACTCCCATTAATATTATGAACTAATCCTTTAAAAGTATAAATATATCTAAGACAATTTAGTAAAATATAATTCTATTGTGTGTCTTTTTTTGGTTAAAATTTAAATAGTTGAAACCCATCTCAGCTCCTTCAAAAGCACTCAGGGAGACGGTCCAAGGATTCCAACCAAGTTTCAAAGTTAATGTTCTCTATTTGACTTTCACATGCTATTCTTTATGGAGCAGGGGAGAGGGTGTTAGATTTCCCACATCGTCTCCTTATATGGTTTTGGACAAGGATTACCTCATGAAGGCTCTGATAAATGATTTGAGAATTTACTAGATACTGAGAGGGTGTTTGGATTGACTTAAAAGTTGGTCAAACCTACTTTTAAGTCGGTTTTTTATTTCTGAAAGTGTTTGACAAATATAAAAAATAACTTAAAATAAGTCAAAAATGACTTAAAATAAGTTACGAAGTGTTTGGCAAGATAAAAAATGACTTAAAATAAGTCAGAAACCAAAAGTAGGGTAGGTCTCCCTTGTTTTTTATTTTTTGACTTAAAAGTCATTTCAATTTGATTTTTTATTTTTGACTTAAAAATTACTTTTTTTTAAGCCAATCCAAACGGGCTCTGAATTTTGTTCATTATCTAGTGTGCCTAAGCTCATGTTGGTCTTAGCAGATACTGCATTCAGGACATTTGAGCTGCAACTCTTCTGTGAAGGGAGATATGTTCTGTTGCTTCATGCAAATTGCAAAGCTAGGCACGATGACTCTGTGTTGGTACCTTCTAAATAAAGAGGAAGGTTTTCCCAAGGAACTTATGGATTAAATCTCGTACAAGGATGCCTTTGGGCAGCATATTTGGGTCCTGGATGTTAGAAAGGTCTATACTATCCATCTATTCATTCTAGCTCGCGCTAGAGGTATTACTTTTCTGCAGTGGCGGATCTATGAAGGGCTGTGGGGGTGCCACGCCACCCCCGAACTTCGACAGAAACTCTATATATACATAGGTATATATATATATATATATATAAAATATTTATATAAATATAAAGCGTGCCACCCACATAACAAAATTGGCTTGTGGTGCCACGGTAGGAGGACAACTTTAGAAGGTTGATGTTGCGGGTTCGAATCCCATTTGGCACCCACGGACTCTAAATCCTGGATCAACCACTGCTTTTCTGATAATAAATGCTTCCACTGAATGCAGATAGAAATGTTACCGTGAAATGCTTGAACAACAATTCTTTCATCCTGTGATTTTATAGATGAGGATAGTTGTGATTGATAAAGCTTTCAGATTGTGGCAAAAGGATTACAACTAAACCTTTGACCACTCACGAGACATTGGCTATGCGAGTCTTCATTTGGCAGAGTCATATTGTGGCAAAAGTATTACAATTACAAAATTGTTGAGGGTCTTGACTGAAAATTTTGAATCAGGATTCTTAAATCAGTCCACACTCAGTGAGAATTTATGGTCCAAGTTTGAGGTCAATGCTAATGATGCTTCATCACGAACCTTTTGTGCAACATATGCCCATGTAGAGGAGCCCTGGCCATTGCAATCATGTACATCTTGTCCTAGTTTTGATTCTGAACAGTCGGATAATAAAGATGAAGAAGCTCAACCCTCATTAAGCGATCAACTTGAACAATTAACTCAACCTTCATCTAGCAATTAACATGAACAAATACCTGAGAAGCCGTTGGATGTTGATCAATGTGATGCAATTTCCAAGGAAGACTCCTTTCAGGTGTCTATGTTTCCTCTCCACAACCCCATTTTTGTGGAGAATGTGGACATGATCTTTGGTGAATAATGCCATGTCGAACAAATAAATCATGACAGTTGTTATTAACAAATTCCCCTCCATTATCAGACCTGAAAACTTTAACACTTTCCCCAAACTGAGTCATTATCATTATCAAGAACTGTCTCAAAATAACAATTACATCAGACTTCAAAGCAATAAAAAAAGTCCACGTCCATCTAGATTTATCAACTAAAGTAAGAAAGTATTTCATCCCATTATGAGTAGCCACCTTATATGGACCCTATACATCCATGTGAACTAAGTCAAAAACATCATCTACTGTAGTGTGACTCATAGGGAATGGAACTCTAGTTTGTCTAGCTTTGGGGCAAACCATACACTATTCAATAGCAAGGTTACTACATGTATTGAAATCTTTTATTCTCCTAAGTACTCCCATAGGAACATGTCCTAGTCTCTTGTGCCATAGTTCTGGATCTCTTTCTCTTGATCCCACTGCAGACAATGATTTAATCTTGTTTTGATGTTGCTTGGTGTTCCAATTCAGCACATACAATCCATCCTCAACTTCACCAATCCCCTTGACCTTCCCATACAAGAGATTCTGAAACACACAGTGTGTAGGAAAAAAAGAAACATATCAGTTCAATTCTTTTGTCAGTTTGTTGACAGACAAAATATTAAACTCAAAGGCTGGTATGCATAAAACATTTGTGATCATATCAGTGTCATTAAGTTGAAGATCCCCAACATGTGAAACTATGGTTGAGTCCCCTGTAGGCAACTGCACTCTCCCCATGCTACCCACTTTATTCTCAGAATGTAGGTAAGTGTGATCATGTATCATATGG